ACAACTAATAGAAATGAAGCACCAGAAAAATCTCAATATAATGAAAACCGCATGGATGATTCTTCAATAATCTCAATAAAGTCAACAAGAGATGATAACAGTAATGAACACTGCCATTAATCGATCTATCTTCTCTTCTTCTACAAAGACTGCTATAAGTGTTGCTCTTGCGTTCGACCGACTTCACTCTCGCTCAAATGATACTGAGCTAGGGCTTATTCACCAACAAATTGAGATTATTGAAGAATCATCCATGCGGTTTTCATTATATTGAGATTTTTCTGGTGCTTCATTTCTATTAGTTGTTGAGCCTCTTCATGTTTCCTCTTTAAATCTTGCAATTCGTCTGAAAACGATTTCATTATTTCACTCATATTACTATTGTTTGCTGAGTTTATTGTTGTAGAAGCCGTTGTGAGGGAAGGATGCAAAGAAGGCAAGGCAGCTTGATCGTTTCTGTCATAAATTTGTTGTGGGATTCTTTGCTGCTGCAGAAGTTGAAGACGAGCTTCTTTATTATATATTGATTTTGATCGACTGGCTTCCTCACGATAAGCAGTAGGTATGAAGAGTTGTACGGCTGCCGGCAGCGTTTCTGGATGACGTCTTAAAACTTCAATCAATTCATTTCGATAATCAGCGATTAGAGGACATCTAAAGTCAGGCGATACATGTTGACGTCCACAATTATGATAGCAAATTGCACATTCTTTATGTTGTTGTATATTAGATCGATCACCACCGCATCTTCGACAAATGCCAAAGGCAGAATTCTGACAGTTCTTCTTCACATGTCCCGCTTTATGACATCTTCCACAGATAAGTTTGATATTCGTTTGATATAGAGAAAGTAGATATTCGTCCACGTTGTAGAGTTGTCCTTGTAACTTAATCTTACCTGGATTTAATAAACTATCTATTCCATTCTTTTGAAGGAATTCAGTTTTCACATGTCGACTGCGTTCATTCGTTGCTCCTGCCATAGAATCAATTGCAAAGACACTTTTGAAACGATATTACTTAATGTTTTAGGGTATTGTGCTTGTTTGCATAAATAAACATATAATTCTGTTGTTTTAATTATCATTTGGACATTTCCTTGAGGATCAATCCATCATAAATCTACCAAGGGTGGTTTTGAAAACATTGGATTTTGAGTTATAAAATCTGTTTTAATGCATTTAATCGGATCATTTATTAATTTTACTCCATCTTTCTTATCATTTAATTTCAGTTGACATTCTAATTTGAACGATGCATAGTGGTATTCAGCTGCATAGTTATGGCGTGATTTGATAGATGTATATGATTTTCATTGTTATTATTATTGTTTTATTGTTGTCTAATTTTCAGTAGTTTGACCTCTTTAACCTCTTGATTCTCGTATGTAGAAGCAGTTCGAAAGTCTATAAACACTTTTTTGATAGGTTCCCACATCAGCTGTTTCCAGTGTGTGTTTTACGAAGTTCAAAGAGGCTTTCATCTGGGTTCTCCAGAGATCGGGTCTCTAGAAAACCCACACATAAGTATTCTGAAACTTTATCAAGCGCATCAATGGAAAGAGCATATTTGAAAACCTATCAAAAAAGTGCTAATAGACCTTCGGACTGCTTCTATAAAAAATATCGAAATCCTTAGCCAAAATTGTGACTCTGTGCTTGGAGTTTAGCGTTTCATTAGATCCAACAAGTTTTTGCTCAGAAAAACTTACTAAGCGCATATCATTCGATGCAGTTTCCGGTGCTGCTTCTGAATATGTCATTTTTATTGAATAAAAACACTTACGGGGCGAGAAAAATGGAAAATACCTTCAAAAACTAGTGATTTTTGGAAAACCTACAACTCAGGTCAGGAAAGTTTTTGCTAAATGTGTGCGCGCGTCCTATATATCTCAACATTTCCTGAAAGTTTCATCTAAATTGGACTTTCGCTTTTCTTCGTGCATGTACTTGACTGAATGCATCTCTTTGGAAACTGGCTAATAAAATGTACAGTAACTCTTTTCCATCTTGAAAACTCCTAAACTATAAATTTTTTTAGTAATCAATAGAGGATTAAAGATTAAGAATATATATTTGTTTGTTTGACCGCTTACCGTACTTTTGCATTTAAATCAGTTTTCCGACAATGCCTCTTTCATCATCGAATAAAGCATGGTCCACAGTATATAAATTCCTATTTGATTTACGGACAAGCGCACTTTCAATTTTTCACCAGAAGTCCGCAAGGATGCACATAGTGGAACAATGACTTAAAGTGTCTCGGAACAGATGATGAATGAAGGCTTCGTCGTCGTTTTTAAAGGAGAAAAAAAATGCATTATTAATATTACACGAACCACTAGAGAACCACCATCATAAGGCATATATTCCCTTGACTTTAGTCTAGGGTCTTACAAACTAGTTGTCTGTCTGTGTGTCTGTGTGTGCGCAAAATACGGAAAAATGGTTGCTAGATATTCTATGGATAAGCGAATCACAAGAGAGAGAAGTAGAAAATTATTTTTTACAGAAAGGAGAAAATATTCAAAGAGATGATCTGAAATATCTATCGCTGCAGAGAGACAAAAGGCTAAGCAAACGTTTTCTGTAGGCCGAGGATAGATGTCGCCAGATAGCAGTCAACTGTGATAATACAAAGAAAGTCGGCTACGGATAATGTAACTTACAGTGTATAGAGGATCTATCATAGCGAATCGATTAAAAATAGTTCCAACCTCCTTAGGACCCGTAAAGAGTGTCCAGAAAACCTTTTAGCTTTATTTACATTAGATGGTTTTTCCGTGGAAGCAGAGAAGTTCACAGCGTTTCTCAGCTATAGTGGCTGAGAACGCCGACCGAAGGGCATTGCTTTGAGTTCAGAAATATTTTTAGACTTCTGAGACTTTTTGCCTTGCATATTTATATTAGATTACGAACCTTACACATGAAAACAGAAAAGCATCAAGAAGATGGCTTAGGTAGGCCCCCAGCGAGCGCCGACCGAAGGGAGGCGTGAGCATTGTCTTCGATTTAAAAGTCACGAAAGGGCGTTCAGTAGCGCAGATCCAGGTTATTAAAGTCAAGGGGCCGAGCGAGTGGAGACGAGCGTTACCTTGTGATCAAACGAGTTTTATATTTCACATAATTATTTCACATAATTATTCACGGAGAAGAGAGATTGACAACAGTGCCGACGGGCACAACTTATGCAACTCTCATCCATGATGTCCATGTCCATGATGAATCTGATGAGGATAATTTGGACTATATACACAGACTACACAATAATGAAACAGTCTTATTTACTATATGTGTTTAGTCGAAGCCACATCAGTATCAGATGGTTGATTATTTGCCTTTTGAAGCCTAGAACTATGACCGATACAATAAAAGAGTTAGATTTCCAAAATTGTCATGTCGTTTTTAATCAGCCATAAAACACAACACTTTAAGACGACAAAAAACCTTTTTGACAAAACTCAAGCAACCTTCTGTGTTCGTTCTTTCTATATATAGTAATGATCAAAAATATCTGCTCTTCCGAACGGCGTTTGAACTGGCTCTCTAACATCACTAGTAAAAGAGATATATCAAAAACAAAACTCTCGGTTTATTTTTCCCCATCTCGGTAATGTATTATATATATACATAAATGTACTTTTGGATATATATACATAAACTCTCGCTTTGTCTTATTTCGTATTTCGCTTTCTGTGTACGTTATTGTCAGGTTTTATAAAGCAAATAATTAATCGTTTAGAACTCTCTTTGGTTTTGATGACAAACTAGATGGTTCAACATTTCGTTTACGAAGTTCTGTACGTGATATAATCGTATTCTTGCTTTCTTTTTCTTCTGTATTATTTTCTGAATTCTCAACATTATCATTGTCATGAGAAACATATTCACCATCGATTTGCTTCTTTCCATCAAGTTTAGGCTTCTTTGGATCGACATTTTCAAGTGATTGAGTGGTCGTTGACAGTGTCATTGTCATCGTCGTTTCGATCTTGACCATTGGTGGTAGTGTTTCTTGTGTCGGAGGAAATAAAGTGCGTTTTGTACGACGTACAGAATCATCATTAGTGTTTTCGATCAATAATCTACTGCCATCAGCAAGAATCCATAAATAACCATTAGCTGGATCTTCTTTGAAACCAAATCGAACTTTGTAATGACTGGGTAATTTTCTGACAAGATTGGCACGATGGGTGGAATGAATTTCTTCCAAACCCCACCATGAAGGAGTAACGATCTCTTCCTCTTTCACATCCTCAAGTGTAAGACTGTTCTTGAAACCGCGCTTAATCCATTCTTTGACCATTGTATTAAAATAAAACTTGAGGAATGACAAATATGGTCGCCACATATCAATGATTGGATGATTTGCAAAAGCAATACGGCCCGTTTTGGCATTTGGAGCTTGGGTACCTCGAATAATGTTGATCACCTGCTGGCATTCAAGTCTTTGTTTTCCAAGGCGCTGATTATCTAAACATTCGGCTATTTCTTGAATTGTAAGCAATGGAATGAAGATTTGCATTATAAACTATGAAAAAAAAGAAAAGTCAATAAAAAAAGATAAGAGGAGAAATAATCATATTAGAAGAAACTTTTCTAGCGTGAAGTAGAACGGTGAACACTCAATGTATAACATGGTTGGAAAATGTACTCAAATTGATGCAAGATCAAATGTCTCAGAAATCTCGAATCTGATCTTTACATCAGGCAATTATATAAGAAAAAGAACTGTCATCCAACAATTACGAAAACTATTTTCAAACTTTATGTAGGTTCTTTCTGCCAAGGGAAAGTTATACTATGATCAATGCTAAAGCCTCGCATCACACATTCAAGCGCAAAACAGCTACGTTTGGCGTTCACTAGCCTTCATGGACCTTCACTGGATTTTGAAATTTCCTTGATGTCATAATGTAAGATTTGAATCTGTCATAGCTGATGCCGAAAGTTCAAGCATGTCCCAGTGGAAGAGCTACGGAATTGGTTCAGGACAGGGACGTACTCAAACCTTTTGCATATTTTTTTGAAGGCTTTATTTTTCTCAACAAGAAAACCATTGTAGGTAAAAACTATACCATCAGTTTTAATTGACTAATGAGGCTCCACGGTTTGTCCACGTAACTCGAGACTTCGCTGATCAAGTTTTTGAAAAAATTATTTTAGAGTAGAACTGACAGGAGCATACCACTAGATGCAGTTTTTGGCGTTGATTACGAATCTCACATTATTCTTTTTAAAAGTTAAATTTTGGCACTAAAAATCAAGTTTTAGATTTTTTGAACTATATTTTCAATTTCCTCACCTGGATACTTTTCCTAATAAAAATAGAAGGCCACACTAATCGATAGAGATTCGATTCTCTACAAGATGGCATGTTTCTTTGGAAGTTTAGACTCAAAACAAGCTTTTTAATAAAGTTTTAAGTTTTAAGATTCTCACACAATTCTAAGAAAGTGAAAACATTTTTTCAGCTTTATTTTCATGTTAGTCTGTATTAGATGCCTAAAACTAAGCCCGATGTGAAAATGAAATCCTTTGAGCAATGTTTAGTGCTCCAAACTTTGTTGGGAAAAACGTGTGTCACAACGTCACGCCGATAAAAACACAATTATTGATGAATGGAAAGTTCATTGGAAAGATTTTTTTTTAGCAATTAGTAGCTCGTTTACTCCTCTACAAACTTTGCTCGAAGCGCTTTTTATTAGTTGTTCTAAATTTGCTACAAATTAGCTTTTGATGAGAAGAACTTCGAATTTAGGGCTTTTTTTGTCACAACGTTACGCGCCGAAAAACGGTTCTAAAAATTCTAGTCTTTAACCACATACCTTCATTTTTATATCAATAGTAGAATATGGCGAGCTGTGTTGAATGGCGCAACAACGAAGTTTCTAGCTCCTACACTTTTCGAGAAAAGCTCAAATTACTGTGTCAAAAATGTCACAGCGTCACGCTGGGACAAGCCGTCGACAAGAATATAGCCTCAGAACTGATTCGTATCATATAAGAGAGGAAAGGATAGGTCACTTATTACCTTTTTTTTGACAACTTTGATCTGTTCGACCTACGTCAGCAAACTTTTTTTTCTACTATGAAGATGGAACAACACAGTTTTAGAACAAATAAGTACTCAAGTAGCGCTACACAAAAGGACAAATTAGAATTCCTAATACTTATTTGATAAAAAGTCTCGAACTCAAAGTCAGACTCAATTTCTTAGTTAGCATTTACGGGTGTTCAATGTCACTCACCGACATTCATGAATGCTAGCGAACCGAAATATGCATACGAAGCTTTTGCTACCTGATTAGTTATGAATAAAAATTCATCTAATTACACTAACCGTATAATCGTACGGACGGTATGATTTACTCGACCGTACAAAATGAATTTTAATGGCATCATTTATGTTTTCTATAACGATTTCGACTTACTCGTTTTTAAAGACTCGACTTAAGGGCCCCCGCTCCCAAAAATCAATCGCCTTAACACCATGTCAGAATTTCATGAAACTTTTAGGATATACTACGCATGTATATCGAAAAATTACTATTTTTGTGCCAAGATTTCTCGAATATCCTTCATGATAGACAATTACCTTTTTTGTTTGGTAGAGAGCACCTAATTGCAGATGTTATTGCAGATCCCTTTTTTTCAATTTTTGATTTATTTATGGAGGTACGGAGGCATACTAGCTATATGCGAAGCTTTTTTAATTCTCTGTTGAATACATTGACATGCACGTGTTTTAAGCAAAGAAAACGAATGTATAGAAAAAAAAGAACTGTAGATAAGAAACTAAAAAATTCTTTTCTCATATGAAATTCTCGTGCTTTTTTGTTCCTTTTCCTTTATTGATGATGTTAACATATGAAAAATATAAGTATTCACACAAACAGCTTCAATCACGAAAACTGTGAGGTTCTACTCACTCACTTCTCATGTTTATTTAAGAAAGTGAACGGCTATATATAGTACACAAGTTGAACAACAGTTATGCAAGAGTTGCGCATGAGTTACATAAGAACAGAAATAGTTTAGGAAAGTCCCATTATGAAGCTAGAATTGCGCAATAACAGAAAGAAACGAAAACGAAAGAATGAAACAAGAGTTGCGCAATACTAGAAAGAAAGGAGAAGAAGAAGAAAACACAGTCTTATGAGCTGCCAGAATGGCAGATCATAACAATATCTATATTCGATTTTTAATATAAGTCAGAATATATATCTCATTACTTTTTCTTTGAATTAAAAATAAAAGAAAAAACAAAAACTTTAACACATTCGCGGGGACGTGATCCACCGGCGGTAATAAAATAATGACTCAACGAAAAAATTCAATCAATACTTCATCTGATACAGAATTCCACGGGCTTCACGATGGCTACCTTTCAGCCTATTTTATTCCACTGGAAAATCTCCACATAGTCTTTGTTTCTAAAAAACATGGCAAGTTACTGAATTCACTGCTATCACAAAAAAACAAGTATATAAAACTGATATTTCTAATGAGCTCCTACACCGTATGCAGAAGTATCAAATTCAGCTGTCAGAGATTTTGAACGAGCTTGTTTTTTCCGTTCAGTTACTGTCTCTCGTTTTACTACTACAAATTCAGTCGTAGCAAGACACCTAATCAATTCTTCGTGGGGGAAAAAACCAGAGCTACTCAGCACCCAAAAATGAATTCTGAAACTTCTAAGGCGGTTTATCTTGTAGCCCGTGAAATTCTGTATCAGATGAAGTATTTTTTTGTTGAGTTGTTATTTTACAAATGGGACTTTAAGCAAGTAGAGTAGGCTAATTTAACGTTAATTGGTGCTAAGTAGTCAATAATAGGAAGGAAGGAAGAAAATGTTTCACATCTTTTCTCCCAGTAAATATTCTCCACGTATTTCTCTATCGATGCAGACAACAACCCAGTTTTTTTGAGGAATGGAGAATATATAGGAAATATTTTAATAATAGCTCCGTGCTCAAAAACTTAACAACATCTTTTTAAGTAATTAATTTTTTTCTCTGCCAGATATATAGGTTGGAAACTTTTATAGTTTATTCTGAAGAAATGCAATCAGATGGAGAGGGTTACCTGATCTGAATTTACTCCACTGCAGGTAACACAGCACATACAAGATGAGTAGACATAGGGTGGAATGTCAAATCTGAGTGCATTATACGTAGACTCCACCATTATCATCAGTGGCTGGATTGCAACCTGCGTTACCGTTTCCAAGACCAATTCCGAAATCAGTTTTTCCTCCTTTGCCCCAGTCATTATACGTAGACCTAAACTCGTCTTCATTCCGAATCACAATACTAAACCCATCAAAAGGGTTTACTAGACGGTTTAATCGATGTACTAAAATGATTTTCTCATGTACAATGGAGCTGTAGGATTATTTTAGAAACTTTTTAAATAAAACTGTTTATTAAATTCGAATGAGAGATATCAGATGAGGATGGGTGTCATTTTTCTGCAGAGTTTTTATTTTTCGAACACTACCGAATTATACTTTCGCTAATATAGAAAAAACTTTTTTGAGTATCTGTTAATTCTTTCAAGTTATTAAATGCTTGTTCATACTAATTTCATAAGGTTATTGAGTTCGACCAGTTATTATTTTATATCTAAATTTGTGGTTTGAAACCGAGATAACGAGAGAAAAAATGTGTTTGTAATACACAGGATTAGAAAAAGTAATTTAAAAAGGCTTAACTCCTGCATAATCAATTTATATGCACTCAACTTTCCACAGAAATTTGAAAAAATGATACACATGGGTATGAGAATCGTATTACTGCTAGTGTGTTTATTTGACAACAGTGAGTGCTCTAGTCTGTGGAAGCTACAAAACCTACACACTTCATCTGGAATAACCATCCAACTAGAGGTTACAAAGACTTAACAGCAAAATCAGATTCTAGCAATATCAAGGGCTGGAATAGTAATCACGCCTACATCTCAAATGGTTCACATAGAGTTACATTAGAAACTGTTGAACGTTTTTTTATGTCTCAACAGTTTGTATTTCCGAAGTGATCGCGAATTGTACATTGTTGAAGCATGCTCACTAATGTGCAGACACGAATTCGGCAAAATTGTCTGACTTTTTTAAACATCAATTCAACAATGGTGGCAATGAGCCGTTTTGCATATTGTTAGTGCCAAAGTTACGACAACAACGTGCAAGATCGAATTCGTCAAACTATGCAAATTCTTCAACAAACTAAAAAAATTGAATTGTCAATTTGGAGCTATGTAACAATGTGCATTTTTGAATCCGTGACTGTCGAAAACGAATTTCGCAAGCGCCTAGATCTGAACGTATATGAATATCGAAAATTGTTTCCATCCAGGTGTTCAAATCTGCAAATTCATCCCACCCTCCATATCGCAATTAATTCGTAGAGAAACTGTGAGAGTTCGGAGAAGAATAGCATGATAAATACCTAAGGTCAAAAAAGACTTCCCTACGGCTCGGAAAATCTGCAAATTGCTTGCACATTGCAGTTAATTCGTATTAAA